ATTAAAATCACATATTTATAGCCTGTCTTGAACATTGATATATAAATCAGGTGATTTTCGGAAAAATCGATTTGTAATTTTTATTTTTCGTTTTTCTCAGAATCAATTTTTTCGAGTATACCGTTTACGCGTTCAAGGATTTTTTAATAACGACTTAATAGATAAGTGATAATTTTTTTTTTGTTGAATAGAGGACAGTTAGGACTAGGTCGCAATAGAGTCCGATTTTTGAATTTCTAGTTTGGTGAAGTAAAAAAGTTAGATATTTCATTTTTGTTGGCAATTTTTTTAGGCATGATTTCGTGAATTTTACGAAAAAGGTTTTTTAAAAATCAAACAAAGGGAAATTCAAAAATCGGGCTCTATTACGACCTAGCGCTAAGGATACTCTACAACATGAAAACTGTCCCGACATGTTAGCTCGTATCCTTATTGCGAAATCCTTGTCCGCGTAAAGGGTAATGAATTGACTAGAACTTGTGCATTTCTTTGAGATTTGAGGAATATATTTTAACCATAAGCTATTTTAGTCAAGACTACCATTCTCTGAAATTTTGGTTGAAATCGGATGAAAAATAACAAAGTTCGTTTCTGAGGGGCCCTTAACCAATAATTCAGAGAGAAAAGTATGATTTTTTCATACAAATAATTATGTAATTTTTCGAAAAGCTGGCTTCAGATTCGGATTCTCCGACCTCGATTTACTTTCGTCAACCTTCATAAAATATTGTTATTTCCTTCAAAAACCCTTTCCTTGATCCAAAAAAATCAATTCAAAATTTTGAGAAACCGACGTCAGATTCGGATTCCCTGACCCCAATTTACTTTCGCCAACCTTTATAAAATATCGTTATTTCCTCCAAAAAACCTTCCCTTGATCCAAAAAAATCAATTCAAAATTTTGAGAAACCGACGTCAGATTCGGATTCCCCGACCCAATTTGCTTTCGTCAACCTTTATAAAATATCCTTATTTTCTCGAAAAACCCTTCCCTTGACCCAAAAAAATGAAAAAATCTGATTTGTGGGAAGCTCCATATCAAACACTTCTTTAAGGCGATGTTTTGTTGAGCTTTGACCCGACGACAAGCAAACAAACTATTTTTTTTTATATGACCCTCCCTTCAGTTGAGAGAATTTTTATTTACTAGTAAATATATTTACTTTACTTTAGTAAATAGTAAATACTTTATTTACTTTACTAAAGTAAATAGTACATATTTTATTTACTTTACTTTGGTAAATAGTACATATTTTATTTACTTTACTTTGGTAAATAGTAAATATTTTATTTACTTTACTTACTTACTTTTTGAAAAAGTAAAGTAAATACCCCACCCCTAATATAAATGCACTTTTTTTCTCGCTTTAAAAATCAGTGCAAACTTCGTGTGATATATTTTGGCTGATCTGGCTTTCTTTCGAAATCAAAGTCTCTTCAGAAAAAAAATGACTGCAACAATATTGCTAATATTGATGTCATTTCTTTTCTACGGTTCCGATGTACATTGTGCTCAACCATATTTTCCTCCACAAGTTACATTTACCTCTGAGGATCGTACAGCAGTGTATGCAATTGATGAATTCAATCAACTAGCTCACGTAATTTATGGGAATTTATCACCTGAACCATTAAATCATTATTTAATGAAAAATACTCCATTTCCAATTCCTGACTCACCACAAGCGAAACATTATGTTCATCTATCTTCGAACTCTAGTTCGCCTGACCATTGTTATTATGAAACAGCTTGGAAATATGGTTCACGGTTCTCTACCTGGTTTTCTCTACATTGGTATCATAATCGTGCTTCAGTTACAATTGGTAATTTTGTTAATTTTAATTCTAAGATGATACATTCAACCAATGAGACTATCCTAGAAGATTATTGGTATTCAGAAGAAAAATGCAAAATTGATATTGGAAAATATTATCCATGTGAAGAAATTTACTTCACAAAAAATACTGATCTACCTCTCAAAACAGTTCGAATTGGTGTCGATGATCATAGGAAGATAGCATCAATAACAACAAAGTACACGATCTTGTCAGTGGGAAAGCCAGATGAAACATCATTGATACCGTATCCAAAGGATTGGGCGTACGCGTGCGCTGATTTTGCATTAGGACTCTCACGTGATCCAGAATCTTCAATGATACCTCTGAATGAAAGTGGCACAGTCAATATTTGGTTAAATACTCCATCACATCGAATCAATGAGAATGACACAGTCATTGTAGAATGGGAGCGAACGAACTGCGAATGCAGTGATTGCATCAGCTGGACACCGGAACGGTTAGTCTTCAACATTGAAAACTTTAACCAACCACAAAAGCTGACTATTACTCGTTTCAAACAAGGCACTGAATGTATTGTACCAATTCTCACTGGTGGTGCATATGATCAACTTTCATCGCCGCAGTACAGAATTACTATCATGTAGCCTGTCATTCGTTCTACCTTAGATATTTCAGTAAACACTCACTACAATATTTAAATCAAAATAAAATATTGATTTTAATAAAAGATTGAGAATAAATTGTTCTCACTAATAATTCGCGTAGGAGATCATTCTTAAATAATCTCATCGCGACAATCTCACCTGGATCACGCTAACAGCTTTTGAGTTTATTTTTGACAAAACACGAACTTTTGGGAATACTTTTTCCCCTAAAATGCTGAAAATTTCATTATTCGTCTCCCTGATTAAAGCTATGTACCACAAAAGATTTTATTCTTATTTCTGGCGAAGATACTCTTAACAAAAATCTCATAATCGAGAAAATAGATTTTTCAAAATTAGAAACCCCCAGAATTCACGCAGACATCATTCTTTATTTATCAAGGCAAGGCCGATCCTTCTATCTTGTTCCGTTCGGGAGATATAAGTGTTTTTTTGAAACCACGGATTTTGGCCACCAGTCCTCGGACCGCTTAAAAATATATCTGGAAAGGGGTAATCGATCATGCTGAGTTCAGTGGTGATATCTGTTTTTTGTTTCAAAGAGATCCAACGCCTCTATAGCGAGTTTCTACAGTGTCGACTATCTCAGTGCTATAATGGGAAAATAACAGATGTCAAAATACTCGCTATAGGGGTGTTGGATCACTGTGAAACAAAAAACAAAAAACAAATATCACAACTCAGCATCACCGATTACCCCTTTCCAGATATATTTTTGAGCGATCCGATAGCTGGCGGTCAAGTCTGAGGTTTCAGGAAAATCCTTATATCTTCTGAACGGAACAAGATAGAAGGGTCGGTCTTGCGTAGATCGACAGGCAACACGATTAGCTATCGACTGATGGTATCACAAGTCAAAATCATATAAGAAAGTGACCTTTAAAATCTTGTCTTAATAATGTTTATCAAAAAAATGCACCTGATTGGTTAATATATTGACCAATGAAATTTAACACGCCTGGATGCTCCTCTCTGTCCTCTATCGAACGGTGAAAACCCCAGGACTCTATCTTGTTCCTATCAAAAGTTATTGCAAAAATATCCACGGCCATCTTATTATTGGACAGACAATAGTTCCAGAGTCGTCTAGTTAGAGTTCGAATTATTAGACTGGTACATAAGTTTTGCACGTTTTTTTTTGTGTTTTAGGCAAATTTGAGGGTTTAAATCTCGTGATTGGGAAGTGATAAGGGTTTGAAGTTTTTAATGTAGATAGAAATCATAGAGATCTATCGACATTAAAACCTTCAGACCTCTATCACTTTTGAATCACGAGATATAAAGCCTCAAATTTGCCTAAAACATAAAAACAGCGTGCAGAATAGGGGTACGCAAGCTCAGCTCACGAACCCAGCTCAAATGAGCGAAAGAGCTGTTCGAACAGCTCATTTGAACGAACCGAACTTTTCAAACAGCTCATTCCACATGAGCTGAACTGTTCGAACAGCTCATTCGAACGAACTGAAATTTTTGTAGGCGTACCCATAGGTCCTCAAGTCCTATTTTTGAAAAAAAATTTTTTTTTTCAAAATTTTTTTTTAATGCAGAAAACGACTTTTTGAGAAAAAATAAATTTTTTTGGGATCACCCAAAATTTTGTGAAAAAAGTGTTTTTTTGACCTTTCACCTTCCAGACACATGTTCTTTTGACCCTTGACGCGCAAACAGGTGTTCTTTTGACCTTTTGGAAGTTTAGAGGTCAAAAGAACACCTGTTTGAGCGTTAAGGGTCAAAAGAACATATATCTGAAAGGTCAAAGGTCAAAAGAACATATCTCTGAAAGGTCAAAGGTCAAAAAAACATTTTTTTCACAAAATTTTGGGTGATCCCAAAAAAATTTATTTTTTCTCAAAAAGTCGTTTTCTGCATTAAAAAAAAAATTTTGAAAAAAAAAATTTTTTTTCAAAAATAGGACTTGAGGACCTATGGGTACGCCTACAAAAATTTCAGTTCGTTCGAATGAGCTGTTCGAACAGTTCAGCTCATGTGGAATGAGCTGTTTGAAAAGTTCGGTTCGTTCAAATGAGCTGTTCGAACAGTTCAGCTCAGCTCACATGAGCTGTTCGAACCGCTCATGTGAGCTGAGCTGAACTGTTCGAACAGCTCAGCTCAGCTCACATGAGCCGTTCGAACAGCTCATGTGAGCTGAGCTGAACTGTTCGAACAGTTCAGTTCGTCTCAGTGAGCGTTTTCAACGGCTCATTATTTGTGAGCTTGAGCTGAGCTTGCGTACCCCTAGTGCAGAAATTACGTACCCATCAGAAAAAAGAAACGAGAAATAAACGTCATAGATTAGGCTAAAGATAAAGAAATTGCAGCATAGGGTAGAGTTAGGGTACAGGTTCCATAGGGTAAGGGTAAGAAAATTTTGCTCAGACAGGGTACGGAAAAAGTTTACCCTGCACATCGCTAGTCAGATGCGAAAAAACGATTTTACATATGGAGAAGCTCCTTTGTTAGTTGACATTTCTATCGCTTTTCAACTTTTTTCTAAGAAAATGAATTTATTCAGAATGTGATAAATCCAGTATAGAATTAATTAATATTTTCACCAATCCAAATATTTAATGTTTTATTTTCAGGTGAAAATATTTCTTCCGTGTATTCAAAAAGATAGTTTCTTTTTAATTCCATTGTTTTATCATGTAACCAGAGATTGATATCGTCAGGAAAACATGAGCTATTAACTGTAATATTAGATAATTTTGATAAATGACTTAATAATAATAATAAATGATCCAATTGATCAATAGAACATTCAAGTTGTTCGATATTTGAGAATATAGTACAAAATTTTTCAATTTGATTTGAATGAATATATGGATAAAAATAAGCTAATTTTTTAATATTTAATTTTTTAATCATTTTATTTAAATATTGACATAGTTGATCATTGTCAAACAATAATGTTACACTAGACGTACGCATTGTGATTGATGATAATTGAGGGGCTTGTTTTAACATTTCTAATAATACTAATGATAAATTAATGCTATAATGATCTTCAATATCCAAATGTTTTAAATTTGATAGATTAATAATATTTTTAATAGATTGTATATCTTCTGGATTTAATGCACAGAGATCATTTATGGATCTAGAATTATAATTTACTAAATGTAATGATTGTACGTTTGAAAAATAATGTCTACAATTATTTGTCAGTGCTGATGATGATAGTGTTAATTTTGTAACTCTCTCGAATGATTGTGAGTTGTTCACTAATATGTTACAATGTTTATTTCTATCAGGTGTTAACGTAAAGTATTGAGATATATAGGGTATGGTATATATGATTGCCATATCCTTGTGTACATAATATTCAGTATACCAATGATGTTGATTATGCCAAAAATCTGTTTGAAATTGTTTAAATATATGAAATAGTTCATCAATTGTTCGATCTGTGTCGTCTTTCTCTATAAGTCTAATATAGAATTTAAATTCGAAATGATTTAAATGAGGTAATAAAATTGAAATGAAATGTTCCCAATCATAAGCATTAATCAGGTGTCTGCTAGAAGAAGATAATATTAATGTGCTCAAATTTGGTGTTTGTTTTAACAGCATTTCAAAATCAACAAATGTAATGGAGCTTATACGTATAATTAGTTTTATTAATAAAAGTGCCTGATTGTTAGCGAGGCATAAAGCTGTTTTTAGAAATTTATCGTCTTTGACATCACTATCCATACATCCGGCATTTAAATATTTTAACATAGGTACATATTTCAAAATTTGACATAAATCATTAAAAGAACAATCGAAAAGTGTTAAATTTGTAATTGATATAGTTTCATAAATGGACATTAAATCATAAGATAAATCTCGTACTAATAATGTTCGGATTTTCGATAATGGTAATGCAGAAAGTAATTCATCGTGTTTATGTAAGGTATCATTCAAACAAAAATAGCATAGATCAGATAACGTTGGTAACATAGATTTTATCTTGTCCACTTCATTTTCTTTTACTTTAATCAAGGTTAACGATCGAAGATGAGAAAATTTATTCAATGAAAAAAAAGACAAAAACTCTCCAATTTGCCCACATGTGTTTGATTCATTCGATAATTTTAATGAACAAATTTTTGTCTTGATTTCTGGATCCAATAATATTGTTTTACAAAATTGATCAAATATTGCTTTTTTAACATTTTGAAAATTGACATGTAACCAAATATGTCGAATAAGTTTGTTAAAGCGACAATTTAATCGATCAAATGAATAAAATATATCTTGTCCATTAAGATATTCAAAACATTCGATAAATATTTCATTTGGTAATAATTCAAATTTCATAACGAGTCAGATTTCATTCGCAGTAGAAATAATTGACTAGAATTCAAAAACACATTCTTTTATCTTTTTAATATATCACACGCATGTGTGTCTTATTCTCATCGCTCAAATCATTGATAACAAATTGCACAATAAGAAAAAAAACGATATTGCTCTTTTTTTATTGTGTGATAATGTGACACTAAAATATACTTGCATTCAATGAAGAAAATGCTAAATCTCTACAGGATACAATAAACCATAGACAGAAGATACTGATAAATTATGGACAACTACAGAGCGATGTTTCACTCATGAAATGGAAACAAGAAGACACAATAGGTGGCACAAAAAAAAACGATCAAGAGAGAATGAAAAGAAAAGAGTAAAAAAAATGATAAGAAGAAAAGAGCAAAAGAGGTAAAACATCGACGAGAAAAAAAAGGAGAACGAAAGAAGAGAAAGAGAAGCAAAGAAAAATATCAATGAAAATTAGCAAAGAAAAGAGCTATAGAAGCAAAAGAGAAAAATATTCTATCCACGTATGGCGCTACATTTCAATATCTCTCAATGAAATTAACCCATTCCAAAATAGTGATTCATGCCTCTCAATAAAGTTCTTTATACGCCTTAATAAAAAAAGTGGCCCATATTAACTAAAATCTCTTTTCAGGAATAATAACGGTGCCACAAATTGACTGAGCTCATTCTAAAATTGTCTAAGCGCATCCGGAAATTTTTTCAAATTGTTCTAGAGAATTGATCATTCTACATACAAGTGATGTCGTAGCCAACTATTTTCTGATCTACAAAGGTTTCTTCCAGTATCCCATTGGTTGTTTGTTGAAAACCACTCAAAAATTTACTTTCTCTTGTTGCAGATGGAGCTAGTTATTAGAGTCCTTGAACCTGGTCGGATGTCGGATGTAAAACAAAATATCGGGTTCGGGTGCGTGTATAAACCTAAACCCGAACCGGACCCGACCCGACTACTAATTAGTAACATCTCAACGCTTCAAAGTTTTCCTATTTTTCCACGCTGTCAGTTGTATAGAGGTATAGGAGCCAAAGCGAACTCGATTATGGTTGAACATTTCATTATATTACAGTCTATGATGTATTGAGAGAATTTATTTTAAACGAAAATTTATCTATAAATTATGATGAGCCTTATGAAAAAATAACCGAATATATGAGGAGCAAAGGAACTATTAAAAAGAAGAAAATATTTTCTCGTGGTGAAAAAATACTCATGCATTTATCCACGGTTATCATGCTTAGCGCTATCATTGCTTTCTATATCTGGATCCTCAGCCAGAAGTGAACGGATCTTTAATTAAATAAGTAAAACGTTAGAAGCATGTAGTCAACAGCTGAATTCTGAATCACCCAGGAGGAAGTTTACGGCTTTCGGAAACCACCGGAAGAGATGATTTTTTCTGCAGATTCCCGCCGCTTCCCTCCGGAAAAACCATACAATGGTCTATTTAATTTCAATCTGAATTTAGGAAGAAAAATTGCAATCGATTTCAAACTGAAATAGGGGACTAAGAGACTATAGAATTATACATTATTCAGATCTATTGATGGTCATCTTACAGTCCTTCTATTCTATTTGAGGTGAAACTAGGGACTATTTGGAATAACTAGGGGGGACTAGGAAGACCAGGACGGTAAACCTGAATTTGGTCGAAAAATAAAAATTTCGAAGTGTAAAAATGCTAAACAATAAAAGTAGCAATAAAGACAATGTGTAAGAATTGCGGATGAGGGTGATAGTGACATTAATGATGATGCTAATGCTTCGAATTGGGATGGTGATGATGAAGGTGAAGATACATGAATGAGAATAGGGCAAAGTACAGTCAGTTCTGCTTTGGTTGAAAAGAAAGATGTCGGAATGGAGAATTGTCAAAAACAAAAATAAGAAGTGAATTGAAGATTAGATAGTCTTTCGATGAACTTTAATGGTTCAACATTTCAATATTTCTACATTTGTTTGATATTGTTTCTGATAATTTTGCCTTTCAACACTTTTCTTTTCTACCAAAGTAGCGGATATCGAAGATAACAGGGTTTCATCCAACATTTTTCTGTTTTGATATTTTCACTTTCGGTATTTGAACCTTCGACATTTTTGCTTTCGGTATTAATCAGGCGAATCACTAGGAGGGATAAGGTAGCGACTTTATATTCATTTAGTCTTACTTTTCATTGTTGTCTGTCCTATAATCATTTTTTACGGAGACGATACAAAGAGTACTTACAGTCTATCCATTCGTACAATTCGTCCATATATACGTCACAGTCTCTCATTTATGTAAATGGTTATATACGACTTTTTAGAATAACTCGATGATGTGTAGCAGATAAAACGTCTTGTTATAGTTATTTTGAATTCAGAGGGTCTTGGAACTGCTTATAATTATGGGATGATTTATGGTATATGTTGATACTTTATTTATAACATAAGAGCTTTGATCATCTTGCTTCAAATTGAACACAGGTGTGTTTTCTAAAGTTACTATACAGGGTGTTCCAAAAGTCCCTTAGGAAAGTTTTTTCGTATAACTTCACTGTTGATTGAATTTAACCAACTAATTTTTTTTTCAGATGATAGGTTAGTCTGTAAAGTTTTTATCTATACCGACAAACTTCGAAAGCATTGTTGAAAGCTATCAAATTTAACCAAAATAGATAAATTTAGCCCTTTTTTTGTAGAATATCGTGGTTTTTTGTGGGTTTAATATCTTATGAAGAGACCATTCTTTTTGGCTAAAATTCTGAGAAAATTCTTATGACGTCAAGACTAGGGATGTAACGGTGACGATCATTCACCAGTTCACCGGTCACCGATAACCGGCACAGACCGGTAACCGTTCTACATTAGTTACCGGTTCACCGGTTACCGGTCTGAACCGGTTACCGGTCCAACGGTTACCGCTATAGACCGATAACCGGTCCACCGGTTACCGGTATAGCTTGTAACCGTTTCACCGGTTTTCGGCGGTATTCACCCGTATTCATAAGTATTCAACGGTTTTCACCGGCATTAACCGTTTTTCACCAGTATTCACCGTTTTCACCGGTATTCACCGTTTGTACCAGTTTTCACCGGTTTTCACTGTTTTCACCGTTTTTCACCGTTTTTCACCGTTTTCACCGATTTTCACCGGTCTTCACCATTTTCACTGTTTTCACTGGTTTTCACCGGTATTCACCGGTTTCACCTGTTTTCACCATTTTTCACTGTTTTCACCGGTTTTCACCGTTTGTACCAGTTTTCACCGTTTTCACCGTTTTCAC